GTGTCTGTGGGGCTTTTCCAGAGCCCCAGAGTGTTGGAAGGGCTGCAGGCATTCCCCTTGGGTCAGCTCAGTGTGTTGTGGCTATTTTTAGGCTTTGGGGCGGTTTTGTTTCCCCTGTGAAGGTCAGCAGGCAGCGTGGTGTGGTTAGCAGCAGCACAGGCACTGCATTGTGGTGGCTCTTGTGGAATGGGAGCTCATCAGTGTGACTAACCCTGCTATTCAATCATGAAAAACCCTTACTCGGCTCTAATTATGCTGCATGATGTCAAAAAGATATTCTTCAGCTGTTACCAGATTCATGAGAGCCTGATTCATGGTAATTATTGGGAGAAAACAATCAGAGTCTGATTAGTTCAGAACTGACATGGTAAGGGAAGGAGAGAAAGATTTGAAAATTTACTTGGGCATTGATTATAATTAGATTTGTGTGTGTGTGGAAATGAGAAACAAGGAAGAGATGCAGGCATATTTTCTACTTGCGTGGAAGAGAGACATTGTTTTCAAGCAGAATCCTTTGCTTTTCATGCGTGTATTTCAGAATACTGACCCACAGGCAAAAGCATCAGGGAGTTTCCATTTAAAGGAGACCCTGGGGTACTGGTAATACCTGGCACGTTAGCTAATTGCAGTGCCAGGGATATACTGGGTCTCTGAAGGATCTGCCTGGATTCATTGATTCTCTGAAGGATCTGCCTGGATTCATTGCTGCCATGGCTTTATCCACGGTTTCTAGGGTGCTTCTCTCATCTGAAATGTGCTTTAAAGAAGCAGCTGTGGGCCTAAGGAAAGGGCAGTGGGGAGAAACCCCACTAAATTTCAACATTCTTCAGTCTTGTTGATGGAAGGCAGTGTTCAGGCCTTTATCTTTACAGACAGATTTCAAAATCTTAGAATTTGGGTTCTTTTTTCCCCAAATCTCGGTGTTTTTTTCACTACATTTTAGTGTTTTAGCTATAACTCACTATATACTGAATATTTCCAAAATTGTTACTTAACTGTAATGCTCTTATTTCAAAATCTGGGGGATCAAAGGGGCAGAGAAAAAGTGAGATGAAAAAGATCTTTCACATAAGTTTTTAATTTGTTCCCAGAAAATTGGATTCCTAAGATCATACACTGCAGAGGGAGAAAAAGCTACCAAACAGCTGAGTCCACCTCAACAAAAGCTGAGTTAAACATTAACCTGCCCTGGACACAAAGAGCTGCTTATGGTGATAATGCCCAAATCACCATGTTCACTTGATTTTACCAACCAGAGTACAGGAGCTGCCTCCAGTGAGTGATTTTGGTACTGTGTGAAATCACTGGAAAGTTTTACACCCCATACTGGTGTGTGTAATAAGGCAGTGTCTCCTGGGTTGTAGTGGGTTGAATGTTTCATGTCAAGATTTGTATATTTTTAATTAGACAACTGTTCAGGTAATTTTCATGTGAATATTCAAAAATACCTGAGGAACACTCATAATTGATATGCAGAGATAGGGAAATAGAAAGTTTCTCAGCAGTGTTTTCTTACTTCTTTTATTATTGTTTTTCCAATTATTTGCCTGGTTTTGGATATTTGAAAACACTGTGTGCTTTCAAACGTATTTCATGTGTCTAGAAATAGCAGCCATTGTGCAATGATTTTTTCCCACTTGTTTGTATGGAAAAGGAAAAGAAACATTAGAAATCTATTTGTGTAGTACATTACAAAGACTTGAAAAAAACAGGTTTCAAAAACATCCTGGAAAGTTTCAGTTATTGGCTTAATATATGCCATAAAAACCAGTGGTGACCACGAGGAGCTACTACAATAAGCCTGGGTAATACTGCATGCCTAGGAATGCTTCAGAGATTGCAAATATAGAGCCTAGGCAGGTAAAAAACAATAATTTGCATGTTATACATATTGCAAAATATTGTTGTGTGCTAACATTTTTCAGAGAAACACAGGTTTATTATATCTGTGACATGCTCTCCTAATCAGCTAGTGGAATGAAAGAATATTCCACACCCTTAAATCCCCCAGAAACAAATAGTTCCTCCATGCTGGTGTGCATTTCATAATGAGCATGAAAGCTCTGCTAGCAGCAGGCTGACTTCAGTACCCAGAGTGGGGTTTACAGGAATGATTTGCTATCAGAGGGAATTTCTCTATGTTTTATCATAGGCAGTGAATCAGGCTGCAGGTATTTGGGGTTTTTCAAGTTGTCTCCTTTATCAGGAGGAATTCAGGGAGTTCAGGGATTTCTTTGATGCAGTTCTGTTGGAATATATGAATATAGGAATATAATTAATGTAAGATCTGGTGTTCCTGGGTGCAGCAGGAAGCAGGTACAGCACAGCAGTTTGGCAATGCCAGCCGAGCATTCCCATCCTGTTATTTGACTTTAAACCAATCCTGACTGGCTCTCGAGGCCTTGCTGTGATTTTGGGCTCTGCCGCTGTTCTAGCTGTAGGGCTGATCCCAGGATTTGTCTGACTGCATCGTGGAAATGATCCAGGATGGAACTGAAGTATAATCTTAACTTTCCTGAAAGCCCCTCAGTGATAAATTAGGACATGCACTGCAGCCTTCCCATTAAAGGAAACATGGTTATTGTGTTTGATAAATTCCTTGTCAGCTGAATGGAAGGGATGGCGTGGGGGGTTGGACCCTTGCTTTTGCAAAGTAAATGGTTTATAACCTGTTTCCTCATATGTCTTCACTCCTAGATAAGAAAGCTAAAGCCATGTGGCAGAAAAGTAGGTTAAGTCAACCCCAGTTCCTTGAAGTTGTTGAATCTTCTAAAATATTTTCCTGTTATGGAAAATGTGTTCTTCTAAAAGGAGCTAAGGAACACAATGTCTGCAATGTGGGTTTTTGCCCCTTTTCTTGTTCAGCTGGGGAAATCACTGCTGTGTACTCAGCCTTTATTTCATTGAGATGTTTTTCAGCTCTGGGGGTGTTTTTCGTGGGGTGTTTCAGTGTTTTTTTCTGTTCAAGCCGTGATGCTGTTGGCATAGGAATTGCACATCCTGCTGCTCTGGAGGGGAAAGTGAAGGATAGATGGTGGGAAACAGGGGCATGTCATTCAGGTGTTAAGTGATTTGTTCATGGCGGCTACCAGTCGTGTTTTACAGGTTAAAAAAACCCACAAATGAACCCTTGATAACAAAAACTAGACTATAGTCTATGAAGACTGTAACAAAAACCTCAATTCTTCATTTTATCACATTAATATTCTATCAGCAATGCAAGAGGAGTATTCTTGTATTACATCCAGGTTGCTCTGTCTTGTGGCAAATGCTTGCCCCCTAGACTTGGTAAAAAGCTGGCTTTTGGTTCCTGTGGAAGAGAACATCACCACCACACTGGAAATGTGTTGTGGTGTTGGGTGCCCAGGATGAGGTGGGAGATGAGAATTTGACTCAAAGTTCTCAGAAAGCTGATTTGTTATTTTATGATGTTACATGATATGATATGATATGAGATTATATTAAATGCTATTATATGCTGTATTATATGCTATATTATATTATATGCTATATTATATTATATTATATTATATTATATTATATTATATTATATTATGCTATATATGATAATATAATGTAATGTAATCTAATGTAATGTATATAATATCATATTATATCATATATTATTGGATATGATATGATATTATATTATTCATAGTAGAGTATATGAAAATTACATACTAAAACTATACTAAAAGAGAAAGGGGACATCAGAAGGCTGAAACAAGAATGATAATAAAAACCTGTGACAGGCTCAGAGAGTCCAACACAGGTGACTGTGATTGGCCATTAATTAAAAACAATTCACATGCTGGGTAAACAAGTCTGGAAATCACATTGCAGAGCAGCAGAACAGGGAGAAGCTGAAGCTTCCCAGGAGAAGAAATGCTGGTGAAGGGATTTTCAGACAATATCACGGTGCCAGAAATGCCAGGCTGGGTGGAGCTGCTCCTGGAATGAGGAGCTGTGGGTCAGGAAGGGAGAGGATCAGTTGTAGGGTCTGTGAGGGTTGGGATGGCTGGTGCTCCTGGAAGCACATGGAATCACATCTGCTTACTGATAGGCTGGCTTGGATGAATGTGTTCCCAATATTCTAGACACTCTTTAGAGGACGGATGAACATTAATATTTTTATATTTAAAAGGTAAAATCCTGATATTTAATTGTTTTTACCCTATTTTTTGGGAACATAATAGGTAATTTTACAAGATCTTAATTCAGAATATTGTCCTATGCAAAGAATATTGTTATTTAATTTGTAATGAATAATTTAGCTTCTTTTTATAACCTAGCATGAGAAGTTTTTATAGGTTTTCTGGAGATCTTGAATAAGTTGTGCTGGCATATGATGAGCAGTACTTAATGCGAATTAAAGAGAGATTTTGGCTGCTTGGTGTGCTTAGTTTTCAGGTAATACATTTTGAAATAAATTCCAACAGCTGGAAGTTTGCATAATAGATTAAAAGTGATTCAATGGGCCTGTTTGACCTGTGAGATGGAATTTATTAAAATTGGTGGGTATTTAGGACCTTTAAAGGTTTCTTTGGTAATACAATGAAGGAGTTTCCTTACAATGAAACTGCTGTATGGCTAATATCTACCAGAAGCTTTTTTGGGAAAAGAACCTTTAAAACTATCTCAATAACAGCTATGGAGAAAAAAGCTTGGGTGGACATTGAAATCTCTTGTGCACACTCAGTGCTGCTGTAGAATATTGCAGTGACTCCTGATGGTCCGTTCAAGCTGTAACACGTCCAGGAGCTCGCTGTCATCTGCCTTGGGCTTTGATGTCAGGTTGCTGAATAAAAAAGTCCATATTGCAGTAAGCTGAGCACTTGATCTGCACAGAGCCTTGAGTGTTAATGCTGTTGGCTTGTTTAGAAGAGGGGAAAGAAGAAGGCAGTGGTCTGAAAGCAGCTTTTTGGATACTGGGAGAAACAAAGGCTTCTCATTTTTCAGGTTGAGTAACAGTTTGTTTGTGTTTATCTGTCTCCTAACAGATTTATACGGATTGGGCTAATCACTATCTGGCAAAATCTGGGCACAAGAGATTGATAAAAGATCTGCAGCAAGATGTGACTGATGGAGTCCTGCTGGCTGAAATAATCCAAGTTGTAGGTGAGTGACTTTCTGTGCTTGTGCCAAGCATCCTCCAGCTCGGTCAGACAATCCCTGTTTTTATCTTCCACACCAACAGAGTGCATGGGGGGCTGTCCATCACACTGCATGGAATTATGTGCATCCTTTTCCTTCAGAGCCTTTGGTAATTAACTTGAAAAAGCCTTGTCTTGCAGTGGAAAAATATTGGATGTTGCTAATAAGATCTCCTGACACAGCAGTGTTACTCCACATGGCTGAATGTTAGAAAGAACAACTCATGAGGTTTTTTTTCTCTGCTAGCATGCTGTTAGCCTCACTATTTCTAATACCTCTTGGGTACTGGACTGAATATAATTCACAGTGATACTGCCTCCTGTGTTTAACCTCCTGCCTCCAGTTGGATTTGGGAGATCACATATACGGCTGGGAAAGGGACAGAGGGTGTAATTTTTGTGTGGCAGAAAAAGAAATGTTTCATAATGAGTTTTCAGATGAGGAAAATCACTTACCATTAGGACAAATCTCAAGTGCAGGCTCAGTTATTTCATCCAAAGCCTTTATTTCTCTTAAATTAGTGCATTAATGCTTGTGAATAATGAAAGTTCTGCATATTGTCCCTCTTCCCTTCGGCCTGGATCCTTCATTAGTTCCTTCAGAGGCTCATCCATCTGGGGATGCCACAGAGCTCATGCATGGGCCAGTGGAGATGGATGGAATGGGAAAGCTGCTGATGGCAATTAGGACAGCCATTGTTGGGAGCAAAGGGACAGATCTGAGATGCAAATTAAGGAGCAGGACATCAGTGCATGCATATTTATTGTGTGTGTTTGAGGGGCTGTGGGGGAGCTGCTCCTGGCTTTGAGGTAGGGATCTGCAGGCCCTGTTCTGGGATGGCACTGAAACATCTCCCAGTGATTCCATTCCAAAATCTTAGAGAAGATTTTGTCTCCCTGCTGTAGGGCAGCACTGGGTCTCAGCAGCATTGTAGACCAGTTACAGAGGTGTAAAAACAGGCCATGGATTAATTGATGACTGTGTGTTGGCAGGCATTCACTTGGAACAATGCTCCTTCCTACATCCCTTTCCTTTAATAGGAAGGGGTTTTGGAAACCCAGAAGCAGTTAGGTGTTGATTCCTTTCTGCCTGTCTGGCTGCCCTGCCTTAACACAGCTGTAGGAAACTTCTGCATGAGAACATGTGTGCCAGAATACCACCATCAAAATGTGGACTTGGCTCCTTCTACCAAATATTCAAATGTAGCTCTTTGAGTATTGACTTGTGAAATTCAAATTATTCCTTCTAAAATACATAACCAGTTACTGCTTTGATCACCTTTGCAGGGTTTTTCTTTGGTCATTTTTATAGCTGCGTTTTGGCTAATATTTAAGATAAGGTCTGCAAGGTTTCAAAAGTTGAAGTATGAGGGGAAGGATTTCTTTATGAAGAACCTTTTTCATGTGGAAGAAAACATTCTGAGTTTAATCCAGCAAATTAATAGTGCAGAAAAGTAATTTGTTTCTGCTGTGTATGGCCTTTAGGCAGCTGCATCTCATTGTCACAAAGATGAGGAGGGCTTTCTGGTGTAGAAACAGCTTTTTCTGTAGCCTGCAAAATCCAAGCTTTTTTCCTAACTACACAGTAAGAAAGCTTTGATATGCAGTGCAGGAGGGGGTTTTAATGTTATGGTGTGCTATATGCAGAAGCAGCTATTTGCAAGTCAATTAAAATGCATTCACATCATGCTGGTTCATTTCAGTTCAAAATGTATGAGCCTGTAAAAGAATATGTAAGTCCTACATGCCTTAGTAATGCCATATAAAGGTAGCAGCTGTGTTTAAATCCATGCAGGGAGACACACTGGGTGTGACATGGGTTCCTGGAGGTGTCTCTGTACATGTGTCCCAAACAACTGACCCCTCCTTCACAAGTTCCTTGGTCTGCTTTCAAGTAGCTATGAATGGTGCCAATTTATAGCAATGCAGCTATCAATTTTTAAAATGTTATAAACTTAATACTACGAGATGGGTGCACAGGACTTGGAAAATGGGATTTAGTGAATTAATCTTTGTTTCTGTATGGCCAAATCTGAGATGGCATTCCTGGGAGCAGCGTGTGCTTTTCACGTGTGGAGGCTGATGGAGCACACTGTGAATTCAGTCTCTCTCAGATCAGCATCAGTTTCGCACTGCATTGTGTGCTGTGCCATGGGTGTGTAAAATGGGAGCTATCAGGCAAGAGTGAAGCTGTGTTACTGCTTTGCTTCCCATGGCTATGACTGCCACTGGAACATTGTGCCAAATGTGGTCCTCCTGACAGAGGGGATCCATGGAGTGGATGGAGTTCTGCCTGGTGTCCTGAGAATACATGAACAAAATACAGCTTTTAATGCAAGAATCAAATGGGATGGCAGTGCCTGCCTTTATTACAGTGACAGAGCTGTGGGAAACTGAACTTTGGTTCTGACTGGTTCCTCAGACTCAAAGACAAAAGTCATTTCAGCAACCAAGGCTGAAAGGTGAAACAGAGCAAACTCAGACTCTGAGGCAAACATTATCCACCTCAGGGATTTCACTGTTTTACCTCTGACCTTAAAGATGGAAACTGTGCTCTTCTAAAGAGGCAAACTGCTCTTCTGCTCTTTGGCAGGTTGGGGTAGCATGTGAGCCATGCTCAAGAATCTTGAAAAGTTGTTCCATGATTTGTGCTTTAAAAAAGAAAGGAAAAAAATATTAGTATTGATCATAAATTCACCATTTGGGTTTAAAACCTGTGTTCGCCGTGCAAGCAAACCACGTGTCATGCTAACATCTCTGTATGTGCAGTGCTCACTTTTGCACCCAGCCGTGGTTCAGCCTGCAGAGCTCACTGACACCTTTGCTGCAGTGCAGAGTTGTTCCCTGTCTCTGTGCTGGGGCTGTCGGAGTTCCCTGTCTCTGTGCTGGGGTTCCACAAGCCTGCAGAGCTCGCTGACACCTTTCCTGCAGTGCAGAGTTGTTCCCTGTCTCTGTGCTGGGGCTCTCAGGGCAGTTGGTTCCTGCCCCAGCTGTCTCTGCAGGCACAGCCCATAGAGAGCTCCAGCTGCTTTTTTCTTTTTGTGGCTCTCAGTGTTTCGCACGTTCACTTGGCCCGGACGGCTACAATCCAAACCCCTCCACTGAGCTGGCAGCAGGTGCTCAAGAAGTCATTGGAATAAATGCCCTTGCTTTAGGTTTTTTGCTTTATTGCCTCTTTTTTTTTTTTTCCCTTTCAGCAAATGAAAAGATTGAAGACATCAATGGCTGCCCAAAGAATAGGTCTCAAATGGTGAGTACTAAAGTGGTTTGTGTGTGAGTGGCTGAGTGAGTCTCAGACTTCAATGTCTGAGACTTTTAGTAACAATTTTTAATTAATTTTTCACAGTAGTGGACTAAAAGTATAATCTTCAGAACATAAATACTACAGTTCTTGCCCTGTTGTACTCCACAGTATTTGGATCAGGCCTTATAATATATCACATATTTACAATTGAGATTATTTTTACATTGCTACTTTATATTTCTGAAATATCACATAATTAAACAGAAATATATAGAAATAATTAGGTATTTGAAAGTATGATTAAGAGTTTCTATATCTTTTGAAATGAAACTAAGTAAATGAGCAGTATGAATGAAATGAAACAATTTCATTAGATTCAAGGTGCAATTTGTTGGCAGGTAAGAAGTTGGTTTGTATCTTGCTTGTATTTAATATTCAAACCTGGAGAACCAAAAATCAGTCCAGGAAAATTAAAAATATAATAATACCTCAGGAGTGTATTTGCTGTGAGTATTGCTGAAACTAAAGGTATAGCAGAATTTTATGAAGAACACAAATAATAAAAAACTTGTTTTTAAAATATATTTAAATGAAAAGTTTTTAAAATTTATGATACAGAAGGAAGTAACTTGTTTGAAGTATCTTGAGAAAAAGTCATTTTGCAACATAAATTCTATTGCCTTCCTTTGGCATTGCAAGTGCTTGCTTTGGGACACTTGGATATCTGTTCTCTGTGGGAAACTTTTGATTTTTTTTTATTTTTATGAGCATTCCTGTCTGCCCCTACCTCCATGCCTTCATCATGAGCATGGCCACTCATGTAATAAAATGAAATCAAGATTTAGGGAGAGCTTGACATCCTAAGTCAAAACTCACACTCTGTTCTGCTCTTCTCTCTTGGCTGTTTGCTTGGAAGTTATCAATCTTGTTGAAAGCATGGAGCAAGCACTCTGTAGAAAGCAAACCATCAGGAAGATTTATCATTGCTCCTTTCTGCTGCTTTGAACAGGGTGGTTGCTATTCTCACAGCAGCTGTCTGGAGTATAAATAATGAGGAAATTTTGACAATTGCTATACTTTCATGTTCCACAAGTGTGTCTCAAGACCTGAATTTCATTCAGGACCAGAGTCTGTAACCAGCTCCAGGACGCTGCAGCTAAAAAAGTCACTTCAAGTCATTATTCTGAATGAGGAGAAAGTGCTGCTCTGTTGGGTAGAGGGATGCACGTTGCTTACGAAAGCTGGCTCAAGCTGCAGCCAGAGGCATGCAGGGGGCATGTGCTGGTCAGGAATGCTGGGCAGGGCTGGGAGCACACATTTGGTCGGAGCTGCCTCCTCTGATGTTGCTCCACTTGCTCCTTCAGGAGGCTGCAGTGGGTGGGACTGACCCCCCACTCATCAGCCCTGCAGTTTTCCTCATGGGAGAAAAATGAGAATTATGCTTGTGGCTTGCTTTTATCAGTCAGGTGCACATGGCTACAGAGCTCTTTGTGGTCTGACTGTAAAAAAGAGTGTTGTTTCCCAGAGGAGCTGTGGCTGCTCCATCCCTGGAAGTGTTCAAAGCCGGCTTGGAGAAACGTGGGGAGTGAAAGATGTAACCAGAAGATCTTTGAGGATGCTTCCAACCCAAATCATTCCAGGATTCTTCCAAGGCAGAACATAGGAATCCTCATGGGGTGGTGTTGGTGCAGTAGTTACCTGCAGTGTTTAGGGAGGCAGGACAGACATGTTGCAGAGCTTGTTTTAGGTACAGCAGTATTCATGCTTTGCATTTCAGTGCTCTCTGTTAATACAGCTTACAGGGCCCTGCAGCATGTGGAAGCTGGTGTTTGTGTCTGGTAGCTCTGGCTCAGAGAGGTGGCAGAGGCAAGGCCATCCAGACCCTTGGGTAATATCCACTCTTTTTTCAAATGAATCTTTCAGTTCCAAGTGGCCATATCCATATCAGAGTGCTTGAAAGGTGAGCAGCACATGAGGAGATTTGGGGGGGATGTAAAAAAAATTAGCACCAATGAATGGAGATTTAACTGTGCTCATTGTGTAGGAATCCAGCAGATCTCAGAGGGAAGGAAGCCTTCTCCCATCCCCTTTTCCCTTTGCAGAGTGACACACGTGGGCTGAGCTGTGAAGAATCAATCAGCTCCCTCCCTGCCAGGTGTATCAGCTCAGAGAGCTGGAGCAGACTGTGCCTTCCCCAGTGCATCCCAGGGAAAGCAGTGTGTTCGCTGGCACGTGGCACAGTGCCAGGCTGGTGGTGCCAGCCCGAGGGAGCTCTGTGCAGAGCCACACCTGGCCCATGGGCCTCGTTCCCTGGGCTGGAGAGCGTCAGGCAGATTGGCCCAAACCGAGCATCAGGGACAGCTCGGGTCTGTCAGGCTCCAGGCCAGTGCTAATAAGCCTTGGAAAGTGAAGTTCAGCACTGCAGAACCATGTGGGACCATCAGTGCTTATCAGCCTCGTCCCAGTGCCAGAAATGACATGACAAGGACCCCACTGGCTCATGAAAAATCACTTAGGTGAGAAGCTGTCCTCCCATCCTCATCCTGTCTGGGTTGTTCTGCTGAGGGGAGTATCCCTGTCTTCCTTTGCTCCAGATAAGAGTTGGCTGCCTTTTCTATAATCCATTATACACTATTCTGTAGCTCTTCCTCTGCATAAAATCTGTTTCAGGGCTTTTTCCCCCCCAAACCTCTATATTTTCATGCTGTGGATATTTGTCTAAACAAAAGCCTGCAATTCTGGTGATTAGTTTCAGCTGCATGCAGAAAGTACTGTGGGTAGGAGGGGATGTGCTTGTATGGAGCACAGGCCCTGGGACCAAGAATATTTGGAGAGCACTTCAGCATTTGGGTTTTTAAAAAAAAAACCCAGAAAATGTTGACATAGTCCTTGATAACTGGGTGAAGGTCAATAAATCAGGGCCAGTTTTCTCTCCTGCACACTTCTGAAAAGAAGACTTAGGTGAATAAACCTGAGTAGGGCTATCTCTGCTAATATGGTTTGTTTATAGAAAAACAGAGATATTTTTCCTTTTTTTTTTTTTTCTTATTTGCTTCTTGTTTAGGGCTTGATTTTAATGTGTGGCGTCTTGCAGATTATGGGAGGTTAGTACCTGCCCTCCTAGGTATTACAGATTATTCTTACTCATGTGGGTGCCTTTGCAAGTGCTGAATGTTACCCCTTGTAAAAGGGTTCACACCACTTACATTTGTAAAATGATGAGCAGAACCCAAAGTGTGTGAGCTGCCTATGCTACATTAGATATGTATGAATATTGCAAAGCTGAAACGTGCTGAAAGGAAGAGAGTTGGAGAACCTGTGGGTGGATACACCAGACTCTCATCTCCCCATGTCTGGGGAAGCTGTGGGACACCCAGGACAAGAATTTGGAGCAGCAGAAAGGCTTAACAAACACCACAGCACCTCCTATAAATAGGGCAGGAAATTATTGTGGTTCGCCTGTGGGCTGGGGCTTGGCTTTCATATTTTCCAGGACCACTTTGTGTCTGTAAGTGTGTGTTCTCAAACAGCAAAAGGGAGGTGTTTATTTTTTTAATGTGTTGACAGGAAGTTTTTAGGAGTCATCTCTTTTTGGTGCAGATACCAAGCTGTGATGGTGAACTGATGCCACTCAGCCTTCCTACTGCTGCCTGTCCTGCAAACAAAGGACCTTGTGCTGGCTGCAGTGTGCATCAGAGCCAGCACTTCCTCCCAAGAACTGCATGGAAGTTGGGATGAAGGTCGTGTTTCCAGTACAATACCTTAGTTTTCAAGGAAACCTTGCTTCCAGTGATGAGAATTTTACTACTATTTGAATATTTGACTGATTTCTGGTGCTCTGATAATGAGCTGTTTTGTAATGTGTGCGACACCTAAGGAACAGTTTGTATGGAAGTTTTCCAACATGGTGAGGACCTTGGTTTTGACTTGAACACCACTGTTGGAGAAGGGCATTCACTCCCCTCCTCAGTGTGATCCCTGCCAGGTCCATACATTATTTTTTTTATTGTTGAAAGACCATAGATGTTGAAATCTCCATTACTAGCTAGTTTGTATGGCATGTGTCATCCGTGTTTCTGTGTTCTTTTTCTCAAGAGCACTTTAATGAATTGATGCAATGGGTGTGAGTGCTGCCATGGTGTGGCTCATGCTTACAGGAGATAGCTGGGCTCACACATTCATGGCTGGGAGGAATCATATGAGCTGAAACCATCTGCATGACCTGAGCATGTGTGTGTGTAATATCCGCTAAGGGAGGGAGCTGCTGTGTTATGTACAAATAACTAAAAGTAGCTGCTGTATTTAAAAAAAATAATTGTTGCGTGTTTTCTCATGGAAAACAATTCTGTCTCTGCTCTTGGAGAGCAGGCACCCACTGTAACCTGCTGCTCTGAAAGTTTGGGGCAGTTTTATGCACCAGTGCTGCCCAAGCTTTGCCATAGGAAGGGGCAGTAAACCTGCCAGTAAATCTGTTGCTCCAGCCCCCGAGTCCCAAGGAGGGCTCTGCTGCTGCTGGGGCATGTGCTGCTAATTCAGGGCAGCAGCCCTGCTGCAAGATCAAAGGCGTCACAAGCATGGCTTTGCTCTGTGAATTCCTAGCGCAGGATTTTTGGAAATGTATCCCAGGGGTTAAATATAGCCGTGTATTTTCAAGTAGTCCAACTCCAGGGCTGAGCAAATGTAGTCAAAGGGAACTTTCCCATCATCTGAGCCTTCCCCTGCTTTGCCTGGGGAGGTGGTAACTCACCAGGAGCACATGTTTGGGAGTTTGATTGGGTTTGATGGTAGCTCATGGTGTCCTCTGGCCCTAACCTGTGGTGCAGTGCCGCCCAGCTGAAGGGTTGTGGGGGCTCATCTGAGGGGGAAGAGCCCCCAGTGCTGTGCCAGCCTGGCCAGGGACAGACACCGTGCAGGGACATGGCCAAACAGCAAGTTCCAGAGTGTTAAAGTAGCTTTTTTTGAGCTCTCAGGGTTTCTGTTGGTCATGTATGAACCCACGTTGTGAT